CACATACACATACACATACACATACACATACACATACACATACACATACACATACACATACACATACATATATTTTATATTCATCAGTACTCCTCTCATATATGCCCCACCTAGATCTCCTACAAACTCCCTGGATATATCCTTATTCATGTTCCGAACAGTGTATTCAGATAACAATTTTTACAATCATCAATATGCTTTCCGTATCATAATAAGCTCCCATTCGACCTCCAATACCCTCCCGCCTACACCACAACTCCCAACTCCATCCAAACTGGGCGGCGATCCAAGAGAACCCTCACCGCAATCTTTATTGAGGCATTCACAGGAGGCATTCTTAAAGGAACAGAAATCAGTTCCTTGATGTTATTTCACAGCTGCATTCTTGCTTTTTGGTAATACTTTCTGTTGAAGGAACATTGTTTCTATGGTGGAGGCAAAAGGCACTTTCATCTGGGGCAATATAGCATTTCAGATCCATTGTCTTTATCTTTGTTTATCTGCTATTGCTTCTCCACTTCTACATCTCCACTCTAGAAATACTCAGAGAGTAAGAACTGTATTTCTCAACATAGTTAATTAAAGCCAATTGTTGAAAAGTCATAAAATATACAGTCAACACTCTGGCAGCTGCAAAGAGATACTATAGCCCTATTTCTCGGTAGGATGAAAGCCATTTAACTCAATAGTGCAGCTGTTTTAGTAAAACAATGAAAAGCTGGTCATTGCTGGAAATTATATAGTTTTAAAGTATGTGAATGGAGGAAAGGCCCCTATGCTGATTTAATGCTCTTATTCCTACTTTATGTAGTAATAGCAATAGCACCTAGACTTATATACTGTTTCACGGCTCAAGGTTGCTTTGCAGCCCTCTCTAAGCGGTTTACAGAGTCAGCATATTGCCCCCAACAAGCAGGCTCCTCATTTTACCTACCTTGGAAGGATGAAAGGCTGAGTCAACCTTGACCCTGGTGAGATTTGAACTGCCAAACTGCAGCTAGCAATCAGCTGAAGTAGCCTGCAGTCCTGCACTTTAACCACTTCACACCTCAGCTCAAAGTAGTAGCTGGATCTCCATTGTTTCTACCTATGATGCAAAAACTTTCTTCTTGGAAGGATGCCTAATCAAAATAAATCCTGCTGCCTGTATTATAGCTGGGTGCTCTTGATAGTACTAGCACACCAGCAGATTATGAAGTAGGGATCAGACCTAAATCTATGGTTTCTCTATTGGCAATCAGACAAAAATCCAGCACAAAGGAGGCATTCCACCTAATAACAGACCATTAAAGTCATTAGCAACAATAATACTCTGCAATAAACAGCCATATGTTTTACAGTGTGCATATTTTTTATTTTTGGGGAAGAACATTCAACCTTTCTAGTGTGCATTGCAAATAGAAATGGAACACAATTTTCATCTAACTTAGAGATGCAATAACCAGAATGTATGAATATACAATAACATCACAACTCAGTCACAGTGTTATCAAGCAACAGCAAAGGAATTATCTTATGAAAATCATTTTATCAGCAAACCCAATCTTCTATGATAACAGTAGAACAGTTTTATGACTTCTACCATTGCTACCATTGCAGACATCACTTGAATTTTTAAACTATTCTGACTTGGTTTAGTAACCTCAACCATTCTTTTTTGGTACTTATAACTACAGAGCAAAGCCGCATTTTTCAGTCTGATGCCATGCAAACAAGTTGGTGAATATGAAAGAGTCTCACTGCTCTAAGAATTTAAAAATGAATTGACTAGAATGTAAACAACATTCTCATGGTCAAACATTCTCAGTTTTCAAATATTTTGGAATGTCTTTACAGTCTTGTGGGTGAATATATGAATATTTTTTCATTTCTTCCTGCATGCCTCTGTTTCCCCAAATTTGGTCTGGAGTATTCTAATCCTCTGAGCAGATTTGGAATTAAAAGCAACAGGGAAAAGGAAAGTATTTTTTGACTGCATTCTTCTAGAAAACAAATACAGTTGTATAAAACTTAAAACTTTCAGGAGTTGCATATATTGAATTTATGGAACCTTCCATATATAAGTATGAATTAATAGTAGTTGAGTCTGTTTATACCCAGGTGAAAAAGTTATTTTTATGATACAAACCTTACTGGGAGTAACTGAATGACCTCAATGAAGTGTATTTCTAAAATTGGTATAGGTTATAGCAGAATAGCTATGGACAGAAGTTATGGAATAACTGTTCTAAGAGAAAATCTTGAAATAATGACAAAGGGAAATTGGAACACACTGCAAAATTATTGTTTTGTCGTTCAGTTCTAATCCCTTGATATGATATAATTTGACAATGTAAATAATTTCTGTAGCTCCCAATACCAAATACTTGAGATTTGAATTGCAAAAGTTGTATAGGAGACAAGAATTAATCTGTCTTGAAATATTTAATATATTATTTGTTTTAAGTTTTATTCTGGAGGATATGATGTTTTAGCGTCAAGGATACTTAGAGAACTGGGGAGTATTTCTGGTTTCACGGTACTATGGAAAATGCTGCTGGGTAGGTTACAGCAGGCACTACTGTCGGTTTGCTCATGCGCACACTGTGCATGTGCGTGCTTGATGCGCTCTGTGCACGCATGTGCAATACAATTAAAATTGTTCTGTGCATGTGCAGAACTGAAAAACAAGGTGGCAGCACCTACAGCGCTATCTGGAGAACCGGTTCAGGGGCGTGGCAGGCCTGGGTCACTGCCAGTTCTAGCGACCCACGGCGCCAAACCATTACTGGTTCAGCCGAACTGGTCCGAATAGGTAGGAACCCACCACTGTAGCATGCGCTTAATACATTGTCAGATTTGAAAATTCACGTATGCTAAAAATCAATCAGAATGTTAAGCTGCTTTGAGCCCTACTTTCAATATTGATATATAAAGAATTCAGGCATATTTTCCAAGTAAACATGCACATGCTGAGTACTTCGCGTCACACAGGTTCCCTATGCTGTACATAATATATGAGAACTATTTGACAGAAATAATTTCAGTCTGCCATTACCAATAAATTAAGGCCCTTTTGTATGCAGTGGGAATTATCCTGTTTATATCCCAATGGGAAAAGAGGGACAATATGCTTTTAGCAGATGGATTGTAAAAACAAAAAATTGAATCTCAAGTCTTGTGATGTAAGATATGTGAAAGTAAATATGTGGATGGTTGGATGGATGGATTGATTCAATGGGAAGGACTCCTTCAGCAGTCAAAAGTGCACTCATGGACCACTGTTTAAAGCAGACAATTAAATACTTCCTGCAGGCTGTCATTTCACAAACAATAGCAATGTGGTAGCTGTCTCCCCCCCACTTTCCATAGCAAGTTCCTACATTTTGAAGTGGAAGAAAAGATCCTAAACAACAGGTCTGATCATCTATCTAGCACCTCAGTATTGGTGATTATATCAATAAAACCAGTATTTTTTATTCAGCTTTCAGCATCAAGCAAATATCATCTTCCTTTTAATAAACTGTTTGGGAAGGGGCAGGAGGAGTGGTGAAATGGAAGATGTCGAATTCTCTATCTAGATTTTTACTTTAAAGAAAGTTATTTTTTCTCATTGTAGATACTACTTAGCATTAAAACATGGATATGAGGCTGTATATATACCAAACAGTTCCACCAACAGCAATTTATGCTTCAAGGAAATGGTTTATATAAATATCCTTCAGTTATTTAAAGCCTTCTTGGAAAGCACTCCCCAGCTTATCCTTCAGATCTACATTGTGATGGTATCTGACGACTCTACTTTTTCTCAATGTAAGTCTAACCTGAATTAAAAATGCAAAGGGGCAGTGTATTTATGTAAAAATAGTTTTCTGCAATATACAATGAAGATCAAGATTAAGGTTTGCAAAGTGTAATCAATTACGACCTTTAAAAGTAATTTAATATTTAAGTATATTAATACTTGCATAATTAAGTATTAAAATGTAATATAAAGCCTTCGTCAATTTTAAAAATACTTTACCTAGATTAAGTACTTCCACCAATTTGGGTACCTTTGCAGAAGAAGATTATTGGCCTGGTAGCTGATTTCCCTTTGCTTTGTTTCATGTATAGAGGCAACTAAAGACTGATTTTCAAAATTAGCTCAGTTTATTTTGCTTTTACTTTTATATTGGCTATAAATTGCTTTGGGAATATTGTCATCCAAGAAGGCTGCCAATAAATTTTAATAATCATAAATTTCAGTTCTCAAATCAAGGCAACATGAATTATGGCTGAAGATCTATTCCCTTTGGGGAATCCCATTAGTGCAGGTGGGTTAGTAGAAATTTTAGACAAGTTGTTCATCTCTTGTGTCATTCACCTTTTTTTTTATTAAAAGTGTTTAATATAAAAATTGGCAACTTTTTTTGGCCTGAACTAACCCTCCCTATTTTTGCTTTCATTTAAAGATCTTTCCATCGCTTTGTCTTTCTGCAGCATTTCCTGTGCAACAGTGAACTTTCAGATAATTTTCCGAAAATATCGGCCTGACAAAAATGAATTTAGTGGGGTATTTTGCAAACTTATATATCTATTCTATAAACTCATGACATTGACTTCTTGGATACTTACCATTGTCTTACTCTCAATGTTGAACATTATAGGTTCTATTGTGCTGCTAATTTTTCTTTGGTTTGGAAATCTAATCTGGGTGATAACGCAAAGCACTGATTTTTGTAAATTTAAAACAACAGAATATGTTTACAGAATGATTGTGGCAATCATTCTCATGTTTACCTTTTTTAATGTCAAGGGAGAAAACACGGCAATTGTCCAGAGGGTTTATTATGTTTTTCGAATAATTATAACTGTAATTATATTGTGCATATGTGGGTACTGGAAATCATTACTTGATGAAAATATAGATTTGTCAACATTGATTATTATAATTGTGATCTTCCTAATATTAGGTATTATTTCTCTTATTATATATTATATTCATTTTCATCCTAATATTCATTGCACACAAGATGAAATGGATGGACTAGGAGTAGAAAGAGAAGACCCCTGCAGAATTAGTAAATTTTTGATACAATAAAGGATGCTAGATTTGGTCTGCAACAATATGTATGATTGTTAGATGATGATGTATGATTGTTAGACTTTGGAAACTTTTAATTCTTTGCTTCCACTAATCTTTGCATCCACGAGCTAACAGTCCTAGTTGTACATATATAAACTAAGACTAAAATATATACATTTATAAGAAAACTTGGAACAGTGTTTAGAAGTCTGATTTTCAAGACCTTCAAACCTATTTTGCTCCTTGACATTCAGGTAGGATCAGTGTGGTTTCATCAATTTATTTTCACCAAATTGTTTCCCTCACTGTCCGCTGACAATCCTTGTTATGGAGAAAACAAAAGAAGGAAGTATTAGGCATGCTACCTTGAGCGATGCAAAAATTTAATCTAATCCAGTGTTTCTCAACCTTGTCAACTTGAAGTCCAGACATCTTCAAGTTGACAAGGTTGAGAAACACTGATCTAATCAATACATAATGGGAGGATAGTATATAGTACTCTTAATACTGTCACTAGTAATCTTTGCCTTTTAATTGTGAAGACTGAAAGAATGAGTACAGATAGTCCTTGACTTAACAGCAGCTCATTTAGTGACCACTCAAAACGGCACTGAAAAAGTGACTTATGACCATTTTCCGCACGGCCATTGCAACATCCCCATGGTCACATGATCAAAATCCAGATGCTAGGTAACAGAGTCATATTTATGATGGTTGCAATGTGCCTCAGGTCATGACAAGCAAAGTCAATGTGGAAGCCAGATTCATTTAACAACTGTGTTACTAACTTTACAAGTACAATGATACACTTAAAAGCTGTTATAAGAAAGGTTATAAAATGGTGCAAAATTCATTTAACAACTGTTTTAATTAGGAACACAAATTTGGGGCTAATTGCTGTCATACGTTGAGGACTAAATTGGGGACTAAAATATGGACTTAGGGCTCTTGAATGGCCCCAAGACCCTTTCAGGGACCACAGAATCATTATTTGCCTGCCTATGTTAAAAAATAATACAATTTTAAAATCCTATCAACAAACGTGATAAGTAATAGTGTTAGCTTATGCATCATTTTTAATTTTTACAGGAAATGTAGATAAATATAACCCATACAAACAAAATCTCTTTTGGGTCTTCCATAAAAATGGGAAGGGGTCTGAATGGAAAAAAAAGGTTACGAAAGACTGATCTATGAATTTCTCTAGGACAGGGGTGTCAAACTCGATTTCATTGAGGGCCACTTCAGGGTTGTGTTTGACCTTGGGGGGCCAGGGTGGGCGTGACTAGGATGGCATGACTGAGGTGGATGTGATTGAGGTGGGCCTTCCCGGGGTGGGCATGGCTCAATGTTACCCCTGTGAGGGGCACATGTGGTGGCTAAGTGCTAAGGCAGGACTTCCCTCAGACCCTCCCTTATTCTCATTATAATCTCCTTGCTTCGTTCCATTTCTTCTTTTCCCTTCCCTCTTCATTCTCCTTTCTTTTTCCTTTCCCTCTTTCCTTATATTTCCTTCTTTGCTCTCTTACCATCTTTCCATCTTTTTCTTTGTCTTTCCTCATTCCATTTTCTCCTTTACTATCCCTTCTTGCATGCTCAAATGCAAAAGGGGAAAAACATTTCATTTTGTTTTGTTTTAAATTTGTTTTGCTAGTGTTCTGCCAGCAAAAATGGAGTCTGCCCCCCCTCTGGGCTCCATTTTTGGCTTCAACAAAGCCTTCTGCTTCCTTGCGGCCCTTTGCCAGAGAAAATGTAGTGGGGTGGGTTAGGGTTAGGATTGGAACTCGTTTTCACTGGCAGTGGGCTGCAGGAAGCTAAGGTGGCCAAAAACAGGGCCCAGGGCTGTGTGCACAGCACCCCCAAGCTACATTTTCACTGGCAGAGGCAATGCAGGCCAGACCTTCACTCTTTCCAGGAGGCCCTATGGGTCAAATCTAAGTATCCCATGGGCCGGATCTGGCCTGTGGACCTTGAGTTTGACACCCCCTGCTCTAGGAACTCAATAAGTTTTGCACATCAAAATCTACTATATTATATGATTTACAAAATGTAAATGTTTCACCAGAGGTAGGAACTAATGTTGAGCTAATGTTATAGCATTGTATTAACAAGTATTCAATTAGAGGGAATAATATGTAAGTATGTGTTTTTTCTGATGCACCTTTTTAATGTTTTGATTGTTTTCTGGAATGTTTTTTTGATCTTCTTTTGGATTTTTGGGGAGCTTTGTATTTTAATCTTGTTTTGAATAAAATAAAACGTATAACAAAAATATTGTATGATTTACAAGTTATTGTGGACCAAGTCCACTCTTATTTATTTAATAAATTGTTATTCAATAATGATCTAGCTTGCTGCAGAAATTTTCTACCTCTCCCTATTGCCTGCTTTATGATGATCACAAAAATGAATTTAGTGAAAGAAACAAAGTTTTCTCTTATGCTCATCAGGATGGAAGATTCCTGATAATCATTAAAATATTTTAAAAGCTATCTGTGGTATAGTCCATTCAACTCAAAGATAGGCTTTCTTCCATGTAATTTCTTGATTTTACCACACGAGGGCTCATTTATTGGAACAAGATACAGATAAATACAGCACAGAGCAAAATTTAGAAGCCATTCTTGCAAATAAACAATGAACCCAAGGTTGTACTGGTTAGGTGTGTTTAAAAAAGGACATTCTAATATTTACTGATCATTTTCAATTAATATAAATCTACTTAAACAGTAACTGTTGCATTTCAAATATAAGTTGCCCTTTGCAAAATTAAAATGGTAAAAGAATTCGGAGATCTTACTCAGCTGTATGCACACAGTAGTGTCCACCTTAAAATTTAGCTGCCAATCTGCCAGTGGATTGTGCTTGACCTTGTCATTTTAATCTATCTGCAAATTGAAAACAAATGCATTTCCCTTTTCCCCTGCAACTCCAGGTTGGCCATGACATCCTGCAACAAGTATTTTAATAAGTTAAATGAAAGATAATAAACCATTTCTTCCTGTTTTGACTACTGTCAGTACTATGGATGAGGGACAGGATTCCATGGTATTATTTGAATTACCCTGCTCGGCTCAATTGTGACATCTGGTGGTACTTGTGAGTTTACCATATCTGTGTCAGAGGGCCTTGATTTATGAAGCTGTAATTGGCTCGCCAATAAACATTTGTCAGTGTAATGTACCCATTCAAACCAAAGCCTGCTTTATACGATCATATAAAAGAGCACTTAACTTTCAGCAAAGAATTGTCTGCCATCAAAAATACTCTATAAAGGATGGAAATTTATGAAGACTTAAGTACTAAAGAATGATCACTGGGAGGCCAAAGTTCATTCTGAATGGTTAAGGCGTTGAGTTCTTCTGTGCATTGGTTATTCATACTATATGTATCTCTCTTTCCTTTTTTAATGTGTTGTACTCTAAATCCTGGATTTGTTTCTTTTTCTTTTCCCTGGCGTAAATGTGACCCTATATTTTTTTAACATAAGTTACTAATCAATTACTTTATGGATAATTAAGACAACAAGGGTAAGATGAGAGAAAGTACGTACGTACGTACATACATACATACATACATACATACATACATACATACAATTCAATGAAAATAGATTTATTTACAATTGCAGTTTGGCTTTCATAGACCTACACTGCAATTCTTGAAGGTGAAGAGTTGTATGATTCAAAGCTTACTACTATCTACAGCTTTTGCACAGGTCTGTTGACACTGTTGCAATATTGGTAGACCCTGATTAGGAATAAACATCAAATTAGACCTAGGCCATGACATGCTCCGAGGCAGTTCTAAGATAATCTTAGATGAGTTAGTTAATGACTTAGATGAGGGAATAGAAGGGGGGTTCATCAAATTTGCAGATGACACTAAGCTGGCAGGAATAGCCAATACCCCAAAAGACAAGCTCAGGATCCAACTGACAGATTTGAACAATGGGCCCTATCCAACAACATGAGATTTAATATGGAGAAAAGCAAGGTTTTCAGGAAAAACCAAAGGTACAAGTACAGATTAGATGCAACTTGGCTCAAAAACAGTAATTGTGAAAGGGACCTTGGAGTCCTAGTGCAGGATCACTTAAACATGTGTCAGCAGCAACCAAAAAATGCTAACCCAATCCTTAATTGCCTTAACTGAGGGATAGAGTCAAGATCATGTGAAGTATTCACTTTATAAAGCCTTAGCAAGAAACTGGAATACTACATTCAGTTTTGGTCACCACATTACAAAAAAGATGTTGCAACTTTGCAAAAAGTGCCAACAAGAGCAACTAAGATGATTAAGGGCCTTGAGACAAAAGCATATGAAGAACAGTTGCAGAAATTAGGTATGGCCAGTCTAGAGAAAAGAAGGTTTAGAAGTGACATGATGGCAGTATCCCAATACTTGAGGGGCTGCCATAAAGAAGAAGGGGTTAACTTATTTTCCAAAGCACCAGAAGGCAAGACAAGAAACAATGGGTGGAAACTGTTCTTCATA